CTTCCTCTTCTTTATTTTCATTATCTAATATTTCATTATCTAATAAGCTATTATTAATATTATCATCTCTTTCTAATATTTTTATATAGGAATTTACATTAAAGACAACATCCTTTTTATAGAATTCTAAACAATAATTACATTTATTATTTCATTCTGCATAATAATTATGATGAAAAACATGTTCACTTATCATCATTTTACCTTCTTCTTTATCTAAACATTTAAATTTTTGATTATAATAATCATATATATTATAAGATGGTGATTTAGATGTATGATATCCTGCAAGTAAGCATCTTAATTTTACTTTTTGATTTAATATTGCCAAATAATATTCATTCTTATTAATTTTCTTACTTTTTTCAAATTTTTAAAGATTTGATAAAAGTAGTTAATTAAGAATATACTTGTTTTATATTTTAAATAACCTATAGTAGATTTTTTATAAGGATAATTTTTAAATGTTTTAAAAGTATTAAAAAAATGTTTGATTATGTGATTCTAATATTTTTGCTTGAGAAATTATAGCATTTGAAGAATGTATTTTTTTCATATTCATTTATATCTTTTTACATTTTTTTTATTTTATTTATTAAAAGATCAAAATTATTTTATATCAGAAAATTTAATTTAATATTATTATCTAAATTTGATAATTCAATATATATAATATATATCATTAAATTCTTTAAATTCTTCTGATTTTCTTTTTTTATTTTTACTTTTAAATAATGTGAAAAACATAACTGATCATTAATTTGAAGATAACTATAATTTTTGATATGTATTAGTGTTTATAGCTTTTTCTTTATTTAATTGAGTAAATTTTCTAAATTTATATATATTTGGATCATTTTTATTACAATCCTTAACTTTACATAGACCATTATTAGAATTCAAAAAAATTTTATTAAAAAATGTTAAAAAAAACGAAAAATATAATTTTAAATAACAAAAAATTAGTCTATTTTTTTTTGGTAAATTTATGTCGATTAATTTCAGACCAATAAAATTAATCATTTATGTGATATTTCAAAAATGATTATTACAAATTTCAACCAATAATATCACTAGAAAATCGAATATCTATTATGCTTATAAATTACTAGTAGGTTTATATATCTTAATATAAAATAAATTTTGATTTCTCATGATCTAAAATCTAAAGTAGTTGAATAAAAAAAATATATTATATAATCTTATTATAACAAAATTATATTTTTTTATAAATTTTTTTAATAATACTATGAAAAATTTAAACTAAGTAATAATTAAATAAATTCTTTAGAATTAACTTATTCATAATATTCTGTTATACGTCTTATCTGTAACATCCTGACGAGATGCATTTTTATTGGTCAACTTATGTTATATGAATCCAAAAAAGGAAATTTTTGCTCTCATCAAAAATTGATAATTTAGTAGTACAAAATTTTATCAATCTTTAAAGAAGGAAATTTCTTTACCAATCACTTAATAAAAAAATGATTTTTATCAAATAAATCACAAATAATATTCAAAACCACTCTTGTTATCTTAATTAATTTTGCAGAACAGGTAAAAATATATTTAATTTTATTATTTTTATTATAATATATTAATGTATTATAACTTTTTTCATTTTTTTAAAAGGGATATTATATGTAATAGGTATTACAAATACATTTTTCCAATTTTCTATATATTATTTTAGTCTAAAGTAAAGTGAAGGACTATATAAGGTTTAAACTACATAATATAAAATTACCATCAAAAATCTTTGGATTATGTTTCATTTTTTACTATTTGAAACTTAGTTTTTTAGGTATTAAATTCTATTTATCATTTGTTATTTGTTACAAATGTCACCTGTGAGATTAGAAGTAAGATTAGTTATTAAAATTAGCCATATTATATATATATATAATCACGTATCTGAGAATTTTTTGATAGGTTCATTTATTTAGACAGAAATAAAAGTATAGAAAGCAATAGAGACAAGAAGAGTAAAAGATAATGTAACTTTTAACTATTTATTACGAAAAATAAGAAGAAATTTCCTAAATCACTCTTTACTTAGATCTGAAAATGTATCGAAAGATGGTAAAGAAGAATAAGATGTCACAGAATATTTACCAATAGCATCTACTACTATAATAGTAGGTAAGTCTTAAAGATGAGGGACGAAACTCAAAAAAGGTAATTAATAAACAGCCGAAACTATATTAAAACATAGTGAGGGGTACGACGAAACCCCGAAACCCGAAATTAGCCGAAACTATATTAAAAATATAGTAAGTTCTATGACGAAATTATTTTGAGGGAGTTTCGGCTGGCATCTTTAGTAAGTCTCTAAGATTTAGTTTTTCTTTCATATATGAATATTGAAGTTTGCTTTTTTATGTATATCAGATAAAACAATTGGATTCTTTTTCCAGCTAACATCTATATACTAAAAAAACTAATGATAATTAGAAAAGATAGGATTATAATCACCTCATAGGATGCTAGTATTCTGCAAAAATTCTGATTCAGATCTGGATTTTGATTTGATTCAATTCATCAGATCTAGATCAGATTCAGATTTGAATTTGATTCAATCTGACGGATTTGAATTTGGATTCAGATTCGATCCATCAGATTCAGATTTAAATTCAGATCTGATTTGCTAGATTTAAAATAAAAAATGCCACCCGAAGTCAAATGCAGCATTTATTATTAAAAAAATTTAATTTTAAAACCAAAATGCTGCCTGAAAGTCAGATTCAGCATTTATTATTAAAAAATCAATTTTTATTAATTTTTAATAACAAAATGCCATCCCGATAGTCAGAGGCAGCATTTATTATTAAAAAAATTAATATTTAATAATAAAATGCCATCCTGAAAGTCAGACATGGCATTTATTAATAAAAAAATTAATTTTTAATAATTTTTAATATTAAAATGTCACCCCGAAAGTCAAAGGCAGCATTTATTAAGGGTAGGGTATCTGTATAACCACCGATCATACTATAATACATATGTGCATATGTAGCTTATTTTATTTTCTTGTAATATTATAACTCGTGACTAAGTAATGTAATAAACAAATCAAATATTTCTTATTAAAAATAATTTTTTCGCATTTTTATGAGTCCTTTATATCCTTTCTAATTGCTTAAAAGTTATCAAGTTCATTCCTTTATTAAGTTTATTATATATTGTATATAATATGTTACTGCTTATTAACCCTAAATAGTGCTTATTAACATATATAATTGACCAAAAAGTTGGTTTTTTTTTGCCAATACTTTAGGAATGTCTAGTTCCTCATTTATATACCTTTCTGTAACTTTGGTATAATGGTATTAATAAAATAATCTAAATTTACTTAGAACTTTTCAAATGTATCAGAAATATATATGTTCTATTTTTAGAACATATAAAATTATCATATTATTAAACTGAACTTTCATATCCTAATAACCTCCTCATAACAAACGATAAATGTCACAAGTATTCACGTTCCGGAAGGTCAATTTTCGTCCGTAATGATACCAATTTACTTACTCTTCTTTCTGAACATCAATATTTACCAAATGACGACCAATCTCAAGTATACCTTTCATTAAATGTTACAAAAATCAATTCAGATTTTAACAATAAAGTATACGTTTCTCTGATCCCTGGTTATGCGGTATTTACATACATCAGAGGCCATTACTTTTATTTAAAGTTAGGCTGGTGTTCTATACATCATGTCATTATGTATCAATGGTCAGATTATGGCTCAGATCTAAATTTTACGCAAGTATATGCAACACGATCAGCACCAGATCAACTATCTAGTCTTCGGCAATATCTGGAAACAAATTCCGATATACACTATGATAGTACTCTTTCAATACCTTTTTATTTGGGCTTGACTACAAAAGAAAATGTTGAGTGGTTACGTGATTATATTTCAGAAACCTATTCTAATTTGTTTGAGGAAGTATGAGAACTATATAAAGCAGAATTAGCACGTGATAAATTATTTAAAACAGCAAAATGAAAAGCCGAAGAAATATCAAATGAGTTTCATGCACAAGTTTCCAAATTATCTAATAAAAATTTAATAGAAAAAGAATTATTAATACATCCGGAAGGATGGAAAGTATCACCGCAAATATCTCAGGCAATAGCTTTGCAACTAAGGTTGTCACAAAGCAATTGTCAAAATATTACAAAACGTCTCCATTGTTTTCAAAAAAAAGTTGAACAATTGCAAGAACAATTACAAGAAAATTCTGATTGTTCTGACAATTCTAACGACGATTCTGATGCATAAGTAATTAAATAATTATTATTTTTTTGATATTATTTTTGAATACTAATAATTTACAAATTTTTACTATAGTGATGAAATTGAATTTGATAAAGAATCACAAATGGCTACTAATGATCTTGTTCAAAAGCTGATTCAAAAAGGAAAGTTGGGATCAACCATATTTATCAACACTACAGAATATCTTAGCTTAGTAGTTGCTCAACCATGCTCGACTTGTAATAATTGTAAGATTGATAAGCAGAAATATAAAATCAAAACCAGTGGACTTTCAGTTAAAGTTACCACTACATGTAAGCAATGTCATACTGTTACTATATTTACAAATGAATCTACTGAAATGAATTTTTTGAGAGTTATTGCAGAAGCTGGACTTTTAGGAGGTGTTAATTGTGAAGAATGGAGAAATATGTTAGCTTTTTGTGGGATTACTAAACAAAGTGGTAAAAGGCAATATTTTAAATATCAAGATATTATGCTTAAAGATATTATGCAAGCAGCACATCAAAGTGCAGATGAGGCTTTAATAGCAGCATTAAATTTTATAAAAAAACAGCTGGAAAAAAAGGAAGGATATATTTTGGAAGGCAGTTTTGATTGTGTATGAAGCCATATGCGTGAAGCTTCACAAGCAAGTGGTGAACTAATATTCAATGGATTTTTAGAAGGATCTGTATATCGTCCAATAATTGCTTTTCATGTAGCTGAAAAATCTCAGGTTTATAAACGAAAAGAAGAAACAATTGTAATCAATAAAGGCAATTATGATAGCAGTTCTCAACAAATGGAACATGCAATATTAATTGCAATAATTGATAAAATTACACCAATAATTGAAACAAATGATGTAATACTTGATATTGGAATCAATGGATATTTAAATAGTAACAAAACACTTACAACTCAAAAAATTGTACACAAAATTTTTACTGATCTTAAATACAAAGCAAAACTCATAAGGAATAAATTAGATAAGAATGTAATTTTATATTAAAATATTTATTATATAATTATAATTGTTAATTGTATTTTTTTTATAAAGCTTCTAATTCTAGATGGAAATCGGTAGAGTAACTAATCATATCATTTTATAATAAATGCATTTATGGTGCTATCGTGAGATGTCATAATCCAGAAATTGAAAGTCCTACAGATGAAAACTTTTTTTTATACATATAGAAGGTGTTATTGCACATCTTTCTGACATTTATGATCAATGTTAGCCAGAAGTATGTTGGTTTCATAATTCTCTGGATATGGTTTTGGCGGAACCTAATTTAAAAGATACACAAAAAATCAAAAAAAAGATCTGTTAGGATTTTTAAAATGTATTATGGATTTAAAAGGTAAAAGTTTAATTACTACGATCAGGACTAGCGTAAATGAAGCAGTTAATTGTGTCAAATTAAATTATACTGATAAAAAAACTGATTATCCAAAATCATTTGCTGCTCAATATGCGCTTGCTGTTATACATAATAACAATGGAATTATTCAAGCATTTGAATTGATTCGTAAATTAGCATATTTGGCACCTTTTTCTGAATAAGATTATTTAAATCTGTTACAATTATGCAAATATAGAGAGGATAAACGTGAATATAATATTGCAAAGATTAATCAAAGAAATCAAATACGTGCACAAAAAATTTGCGAGCAAAAGAAAAAACTTGAAGGATTTGACTTTGATCAGGTAAAGTTAATTTTTTACAAGTTATATATATATTTTTTTAATTGAATGTTAATAATAATTAATTTTTTTAGGATCTTGTACCTTATGGTATACAAATTCAAAATGATATACAAACAAAAAAGTTCTGTTCATCTTTTTCATTACTTGTCAAAGACTTTGACAGCACTTTAATGTGTTATGGATGTCAAAGTTTTTCATGTAAATTTCCTAATGGGTTTTGCAAATTATGTGGTTTTTATTTTTGTGAATATTTAATGAGACTTATTCCTAATGCAACATTTCATGATGAAACGTTAATTAATTCAACCTTACAAATAGAAAAATTAGATTCTTTATTAAAAAATATATATGGATTTGAGAATTTTTGAGAAAATCAATGTGAAAATATTGAATCTTACTTATCAGAAAAGGATACATTGATAATAATAAAACTGGTGGTAGAAAAACTCTAATATATAGTGCGGCAGCATTATTGTTTAATCGATTAACAGTTGTATTTAGTCCTTTAAAATTATTAATAGATGATCAATTAGTAAGTATATACAGTCATACCTCTCTATAGCGAATTTTTATATAATGAATTTTTTGGACAACTATATTAAATTTACCCTCGTTATAACGAACTAGCCAATCAAATTCTTTAAAAAATTCACTATAGCTCTATAGCGAAGTTGAAGTTCAGGACATAAAATTCGTTATATCAAGGGTTGACTGTATTTGTAAAGTAGAATAAATATAGATTTCTAATTAAATTATTATAGAATTCTTTAAGACTTGTGAAATATCAATTAATTTACGTGGATTAGATTCTGATTTAAAGATAATTGGTAATGATAATGTTAATATAATAATAATATTAATAATTTAGATAGTGATGATGATGATATTGATAATAATATTAATTAGTTTTATTATAACTGATTATTTGTGATTAACCAGTTTTATTTAATAAATTTGTCTGTATCTTTGTGAGATATTACTGTATTATTACTATTAAAAATTTTATATAAAAATTTACTTATCTAAATATGTTTTTAAGTTAAGTTTGATCAGTTTAATTTAAAAGTTATTAGTAACAGAAAATTGATTTTTCAAGCTTATTTTTTTATATAAATAATAATTTTTTTTATAATGAAATGAATTTAATTAATTATCAGTATAGAATATAAAAATTATTAAAAATTTGTAAATTATATTTACATAATAAGTTTTAAATTTAAATCAACAAGTAATATACTTTTACTTCATCAAATAGTATATTAAAATAAAATATAACTGATTAATCAGTTAAAATTGATTATTTTATAATAAATTATATTTAATTTTAATTTTAAGATAACAATTAAATTAGTTTATAATAATAAAATCAGTTTTACCTCTAATATTAATAATAATATCAATAGTAATAGTAGTTAGTGATAATGATTGTATTTAATGTTTATTGTTCAATATTTATTATATATTTAAACTAAAATTTTTTTTTTGAAAATCTACTATAAAATATAAGATAAATAACATTATATTATATCATTATAGGTTATTATAAAGCTTAATCCCTTCTAATGAGACTTATTATTTATGTGAGTATATTAAATTAATATTTTTAATTTCATAGGTTCTTGTTAATGTATAAAATCTATTTTATTTTAAATTTGCTGGATTTTTTAAAAGATTTCTTGTAAAACTGGAATTCTAAAAAAAATTTTAGATATGACATATTAGATTTTTGAGAAATTTTATAAATGCCAATAAAATTTATTAATTTCAGTTTTATATTCTGATAAATTACTGGATTTTTTCTAAATTTTTTTAAAGACTTTTAAGTGCCAATTCTTACATAGAGTAATAAATGATTATCTTAGAGTTTTTAGCTATGGTTTATTATCTTTTATATAATTGATGTTATTCTAAAATTATTTAATAAAAATAACAAAATTTAGTAATATTTTCATATTAAAGCAATTAATCTAAAAATAACATGTAATTATGTAATATATGACTCATAATAATTGTTCATTAAATTTATTCTGTTGTATATATTTGTGATACTCAATTACATTTTTTATCATCATTTCAATTTCTTTATTCAAAACCTTTTTAACACACAAATTTTTTTAACTATACTGAAAAATACTAAATTTTACATTTATAAAACCCCAATAAATCAATACTAAAAGTTCTATAATACTTTAAATATCATTATATAATAAATACAAAAAATCCTGTATATCAAAAGTTAATCTATATGCAGAATGTAATAACGCATTAAGAGAAATTCAAAATAAATTTCAGGAATAAATCAAAAGTAAAATCAAGTGATACCTAATAACTCTAATTTTAATCTAAAGTTTTTTATAAATTAATTATTTATGATCTAATCTATTTCAAAATTCCAAATCCATTCAAATCAATAAAACACTTCAAAGATAACAAATTGATGAGATTATTATAACTAATACTACTTTGCCTTCTAATACTACTATATAGAAGAAAACTAATAAATTTATTAACTCAACCAATATGAAACTTACTAAACTTTAGCAAAATTATAATTCTACTACTAATTTGAAGGTTCAGCAAAGTTTAATAAAACATATAATAACTTTCAAGCAAATTTTACATGATGAAAATGATAAGATTAAAAAATTAAAAATATCAAGTAGGATGGATATCTATAAAAAAGCAGTATAAAAAAAAAATTTTTATAAAAGCATCAAAAGATAATAAAATACAATCATTCACCTCTTTTGATTCAATGTTCCAATTTATATGAGCATGTACATAAATGTATTAAATATAAGTCTGATAAAAAGAGAAGAAAAGAGGCTATTAAAATTAAAGCCATTTGTCATTTTTAAGAGACTTTCAATTCAAATATCTTTTCTGCATCACTCTTAATAATTATTTCTATTATCTTAATTAAATACTATAGCAGCAAAAACTTATCACTATTATTGCAAATTCCTCTATTTCATGAAATGAAAAAATAAGCATATTGATGAATATTATTATCTTACGTCTATAAAAGAAGCAAAATCAATTTATGATCTTATTTCTGATCTACTCTATTATCATTTTTTAGGATGATAAATTCAATATTTCTTTTAGTATTCCTACAGTCAAAAGAACTTTTAAATAATACAAAGTTTTCAAAAGCCAGTTATATTATCTAATCACAATCTTTTAATCAGTAAATAGCAAAAGCTTATTTTATCAGTTTATTTATTAATTAATCTGAATAATACAAATGATACTTTTCATAAGATTAGCTTTCAATTAAGCTCATAATATCAAATTAGTATAAGTTCAATTATTTACATAAGTAATCTAAATTCGTTAATTCAAGACAGTCATTTTGATGAAATATTAAAGATTAATAATTAGATTAAATCCATTTGAATTCTTCTATTTGATAAAGATTCAGATAAAAGTTCCTATTATATGAAAAAACATTATAGAATATTTTATGTTTTTGATTTTAATTACCTTTCTGTTTATACTCATATATGTGATTAATTCTTTGCAATAGAAAGGGAAGAAACTACTGGGAAAAATAAATTTTATTTTTATATGCCAAATATGATTTTTATGCTGAAATATATTCAAATTTAGCATTAACTTACTTTTGATTTTTCCGGCTATTTCCTCCCTTTCTATTACAAAGGTTCTATATAATCCTATTAAATATAGCATAATAATGGTCTCTTAAAAACTAGCTAGTATAACATTATCAATTGATAAATATGTTTTACTTCAACTAAGGTTGCTGGACGAAATCAAGAGTTTAGATAGGCATCTAAATTGTAAAAGTAAAAACTTGGTTAAATTATATCAAAACTTTATTAAAAAATCTGCGAAATTTGAAAAAAGGTAAAGCTATATCAAAGCTTATAAAAATGGCAAAACTATATCAAATATTTAGTAAAAATTTAAGGTTTAACTGTTTTGCCAAATCCAAAATGAGTTTAGACTAGCAACCTTAACTTCAACTCTTAAAGCTATATAGTGTAAACGGATCTACAAAGTGATCTGCAAAATCGATCTACAAAAGGGATTTGCAGAATTGATCAACAGA